GGTCATAATACAATAGACCTCACTACGGCGCACCGATTGGGCGTGTAGTGAGGTCTGTTGTAAGGGGCGTAGATTGAAGCAGAGCCACGACAGCCTTTTCCACTAATCAGTGCCATTCTAGCAGGGAGAAACTGGTGAAAAGCTGCCGCGACTGGTCCAATCCATGTCCTTTCACACGCCCTCTGTTTTTAAGATGAACTGTTGCATGACTTTCTTGTTTTCGTTTGATCAAAGTGTGCGCTTTTTGCCCAGTTGAAGATATGTCAGAGCAGGGTCGCCCTTTTTTGGGCACTGGCACCCTTTTGCGGCAGATTAGAAAAGTAATCGTCTACTTGTCGGGAGTTCTCGCCCTTTCCCATGGGTACCAACCGGATGCCTGAGATCTTTACTCCTTTCGATCCGTTTTCTACCTTTACAATCTAATGTTCTTTAGGTATGGACTAGACCATCTTCCTCCTGATCGCACAGCAGACATTTTCAAACATTACACCGTACACGAAAAGAAGTTTGGTGAAAGAGCTGGCATTGAAGATGTGATTGTTAGTAAACGGCGTACTCAGTACGAAAAGGTCGGTGAGATTGATTTGCTTTTGGGTTTTTTTTTTATTTTGAGCCGTGGAGCCAACATTTTTGCTGCTGAGTAGATAATCCTGCAGCATTTGACTGTAGGATGTTTCTTGCTGTAAATAAATGAAACTACGCCTGCGAGACGTCAGTGCTTTTAGCAAATAGCTGAAAACTCTTTCAACTACGATGCATGGTTTGATTATTTGCGATTACTAGAGAATGAGGAGTGTCCTCGGGAAGAGGTTGAAGATCTCTATGAACGAGCTATAGCGAACATTCCACCACATGAGGTGGGTATTCATGAAGTCTTATGGTTTTTCAAGTGACAGTAGCTTGGTATGATTGACTTCTTATTTCAAGGAGAAGCGTTATTGGCGAAATGAGCAGAAGAAGATAATAAAGAGAGATATAAAGAGAGATAGAAGAAGAAGAGAAAGAGAATAGAGAAGCATAAGAAGAGATTAAGAGATATAAGAAGATATATTTATTTATGGATCAATTATGCTATTTATGAAGAACTAACGGCTAATGATGTGGAACGAACGAGACAGGTAACAGTAAGCTTTGATATTTATTTGGCTCAAAGGATGCCCAACGACGTCAGGGTCAGCTCGCATGCACTCCTTATCCTTGAGAGGAGTAGGCGTGGCATCCGAACATGGCACAGTATGGGTCACTTGTTGGATATCTCAGTTTGAGACAGTCATCTTGTATAGTGTTGGACATAGATATGGCCACAATTGAGTCGAAATAGAAGCTTCTCTCCAGAAGCTCACCCACCGCCACGTTTAGTTAAAGTACGCAGCCACGCCCACCACATCTTAATGATCTCGATTATACTTGTGATAGTTGGTTTTTGGTTTTTGAAAGTTCAAGCTAAGGTTACATTCCTCTTTGCATTTCCTGTTCGGAGACATTGAACCAGTATAGGTGCTGAAGACTTGGTTTTTTGACCCCTTAAATACAACCAATTCATTGTGGCTCACTGAAAATATGTGGATAATAAGATAGATAGAGCGAGAGAGAGAGAGAGAGTGAGAGAGCGAACCGAAGGCTGATCGAGAGCAGGGTATGCCATTGACCCCGCAAATTCGATGCTGTGCTCGACAAGGGAGCGAAGGGGATTTTTTGGTGTAGCGCACCTAACCACGGCAAGCACTGTCATCCATTATAAAGAATGTGAAAGGTGATGCGATGAAACAATTGTGACCCATGAGTGTCTGCTTCAGATGGCAGAATAAGCTGCGAGATGAGGTGACTGTACACCACTTTATTGAAAAAGCGTCTCTTTTATTCAGTTACGGAAGTTAGGATTGACAGCTTTTTTCAGATCTCGTTCATGGTTTTCTTGTAATTGTGCTCATAATTATAGGTTTACAAGGCTTGCCTCGACGTTATTCCTCACAAAAAGTTCACCTTTGCGAAAATTTGGATAATGTTCGCTCATTTTGAGATAAGGCAAATGGATCTGGCCGCGGCGAGAAAGATTTTGGTGAGATCATTTTCCTTTAAGAATTGTATTGTGATGTGATAGGGCATGGCAAGCGGCAGGGGATCACCGTGCAGGTTTGATACTGCCGTGAAATGGCGCCATTTTTGGAAATTGGTTCACACTTTACGGAGCACCTCACTTGAAAACCATCTATTTGATGAAAACCCCAGTTCCGCGCCAGGTTTCTAAACCATCCTCTCCCACACCCTCCCCTCCCTTACACTTGTCTCTTGTGTCTCCTTTCTTACCATCGCAAACGTCATATCATTGTGGACGTTTTATTGCATTGCTTTAAACTCTCTGTAGGTTATTTTGTTTACGTTGATTGTTATTTCTTTCACTCCTTTTTATTATTTTATAGGGAGTTTCCATAGGAAAATGCCCAAAGGAGAAACTCTTCCGAGCGTATATTGATCTCGAGTTGCAATTACGTGAATTCGATCGGTGTCGAAAATTATATGAAAAGTTTCTTGAATATTCATCGGAGAACAGCAATACGTGGATTAAGGTGAGCTATTGGGCTTTCTTTCATTCGGAACTTCTGTTTCAGATAAAACGCAAACATCTTGCATCATAATTTGGCATACTGGGTGTTTCTCCTCCACTTTCGATTAGAGGCACCCCCAGCGTTCATTTGGTGCACAGTCGCCTTCTTTGGACGGTAGCCCTGCACACAAGCATGAAAGATGTACTATGTTCGCCGCGCAAAAACTCGTGAGAAAAGCACCGCCCATTGCAATGGAACCACGGCTCCGCCCAATAGTGACGGCTACGCCCAACTTTCATTTCTGAGAGCTTCATGGTGGTGCGGTATTTGACGTATTTGAGCCGTGCAACTTACCATTTTCGGACCTCGGGGTGCCTTTGAGCCTGAGACTTTCTATCGATGGGTTATTAGAAGTGGTAATTATAATTATAATTAATTATGATATGATTTTTTCAGTTTGCCGAACTCGAGACACTTCTTGGTGACGTGGATCGCGCTAGAGCTATTTTCGATATTGCTGTTCAACAGCCAGCGCTGGATATGCCTGAGGTATGGCATGTTTTCTGTTGCTTTTTATTCTGCCATTCTGAAGCTGCAATTACTATTCTACTTTTTGAATGTCTGAAGAACCTTTCCGTTGACGAAACCCTCTTGTGATTTTACATCAGTTTTCCAAAAAAAAAAACACTGAAACCACTCCTTCATGTAATTCAAAGTTCTCCCGTTACACTTCGTGGTTTTCCATTACATTACATCTTCCGGTACTCTATATCTCTTTACAGATTCTATGGAAAGCGTACATTGACTTCGAAATCAATGCGGAAGAGTACGAAAAAGCCCGTGATCTTTACGAGGCGTTATTGCAGCGAACGAATCACATAAAGGTTCGTGATAGAGTAACCTTATCGATAACAATTATAATTGAGGTTTTTACAGGTTTGGATCTCGTTGGCCGAATTTGAGCTATTCATTGGGAATGTTGATGGTGCTAGAAAGGTTAGCGAAATCGAAGGTTGTTCCATCTCTTTCCTGAATTAGTTCTTTTAGGTTTACGAGCGTGCAAATCGTGCGCTAGAGAGTGCTGAAAAGGAAGAGCGTCTGATGCTGCTAGAAGCATGGCTAGAGGCAGAGAAAAAGATTGGTGACATTAATGCGATTCAAAAGTTGGTGTTTTGTAGTTTATTTTTCAAGAACGCTGCCTTTTGACGCTCGTCCGATATACGCAGGCATTTCGGTTCATTACGGTAGATTACGGTAGTATTCCCGCTCTGGGGATATTGGCTTTCGCTCAAACGAGGTTAAAGAAAGCTTGGGTTCAATTTGTATCCCCTTAAAGGCAGTTGGCACGATGGTTTCCGGCCTAAAATGCTAGTAGGGCGCTATGTAGTGGGGAAATGGCGAAAGAACGGAGTGAAACGGTCAAAATCCGGCGAAGAAAAAGCCTCCGTTCTCAGTGACTTGAAAATCGATTTCGGACGAGTTTCCCGTACGCATCTTGCCAATCACCGCTACCGAAGATACGGCTGCATATGTGTACCCATATATGCATCACGGCCGCTTCATACCAATCCCTTTGCTTCATAATTTGCTCAGCAAATGAATGAATACGAGCGTCAGAACGGTCGTCCGTTTGTGGGCGGGCGGGCGAGGAAGGCGTTTGGGACGGAATGTTGTTGCTCGATAGGGCGTTATAGGGGTACCCTCCTTGGAAAAGGCGCCACGGAGCGCCTGTCCGAGGTCACGGAATTCTGTTAAGCCAGTCGTATAAATCCTACATCTGTATAGCGATTTATCGTGCCAACTGCCTTTAAGCTTCGTAAGTAGCTTTTCTGGCCTACTTCTAAAAGAAAAATGTCTGTAATGATTGTAAATATTCGGAGTCTACCGAAATCCACCGAATTGCCTGTTTATATTCGACTAGCACCCTACAGCAGCCATATGCAAGATTAACTCCATTAAGGGTGGAGGGCATGATGCCACGTAGAGTGAAGAAGCGGCGGCAGATCCAAACAGAGGATGGTGTGGATGCCGGTTGGGAGGAATACTACGATTACATCTTCCCGCAGGATCAAGGTAACATTACTGTCTTTTTACCCGTCAATGAACGTTTTTTTTTGCCTCACGGTTGACTTTAGCAGTCGACAGTAGCTACGAAAATTAATAGATTGCGCAAAGAAATAGAGTTGAACTTGTTGAACTTATAAGGCTTTCCATCGATTCACTTATCTTCTATGTTCAATTTATTTTAGCGGCAAAGGGGTCATTCAAACTGTTGGAAGCAGCTGCACGATGGAAAAAGCAGCGCGAACAAATGGCTAAGGTGTGTTCTATCCAAATGTCTCCTGTGAACGTTTGCTCATTCACGTGTGTTTCAGGAAGCACAAGCTGTAACTGACGATCGGGATAAAGAGCGCGGAGGGGGCGATGAATCGGGCGATGAACAGCCTGACAAAGTTCGAGAAGGTAGCTTTTTTTGTCAGTGTAGCATTCATTCTTTGGATGTTTATTTGAAATGGTCACTTATGCATATTTGAGAGCTCATTGTACGTTTATTTTTGATTCTTCGCAGATTTTCATGTGAATTAAGCGTGTGCATTTACGCAAGCCATGAATCAGCTATGAATCCACTCTAGACATTCACCCTCGTGCTATTTATTTATCAAGACTTTTTGTGCTTTTTGGCCTCACTGTCACAATCCCACCGTGAAGACTGTGTGATGCTCATGCGTAGACGCACATTGTCTCTCCCTTGTGGTCACGTGGCGTCCATGGGATGACATGATCGCCCTAATTTACCCAGGAATTTGATTCTTGGTCAAGTTTTCTCGTTGGCATTTATGTATCTCCACATTCATTAAAAGCCTCGTTCGCTGCAGATGATGGGGCGTGTCAATAAGGATGAGTTGGCGTCCCGCGAGCCTGTTTTACCAGTTGTTAAGGCGGGTAAGCGGCAACACATGGTGGAAAACGACTGATATAATACAGCCTTGTCTCTTGTGGAGCAGAAAAAGAAAAAAAGACGGGCTGGCACAACATGCGCCAATCCGTAACCCTCCCCTCTTTTACTTTCCGGTCCTCGTATTCATCAGTATTTCTTTCTAGTGTCTTCTAACGATAGATCAAAATTGTAATCGTTGAAAAGGTACAGTTGGTGAAAAAGTTCTGTCTTCTCGAATTGTTGAATCCTGTTCTTCCTGTCGATTTGCCGTACGAGATTGGTAAGATGGAATCGGTTTGACAAAATTGGCACGTTTCCCGTGGCCAAATTGGCACCTATAGCTGCGCTTACAAGTGTAGAGTGTTGTTGGCACGAATGATAGAGTTGGGGACGAAGTTGGGGTTGTTGTTTCAGCGCTATTTGCTAGCCCCATTTCTTCGCCCTGGAAATTACTGAGCTAGTACAATGTACCCCTGGTGGAGCGATACTCAGCGCAAGATCACTTCCATCGACTTTGGCAATGCTTTCTTAACTCAGAAAACCTTCTTTTCCCCTAGAAGCTGTTCGTTTTCTTAAGCCGAAGGTGCTGTGTGGGCAAGTAGTAGGCTCACTACACATGCGGTCCGGATCAAATCCCGGATCAGCTCCTCTTCGGGCCAACTGAGGCTACTACTCTCCGAGGACGGTAAACTGGTGCTAGATTCGTTCGGGAGGGTAAAACACTGACTTGTACATCGATTGCCCCCTCTCCCACCCCCCCCCCCCTCCGCCTTCCAGCTCTTTGTATAGACCCCCATCTGGGCCACTACGATTTTGCAAATAGAATGCGTGCGGCATCTGAAAAAAGGACTGACCGGCGGCGATGGCTTTTGCTTATTTATTTTTTCTGCTACAAGTGAAAAAGGGGCGCCGATAGTTTGCAAAAGTTTTTCGAAGAGTTCATACTTTACTGTATGTGAGAGCTTTTGCTTACAACAAGTACTGCATTGCAGCATTCTGAGTAGTTCTAACCCTTAATCACATTTTATTCAGGAGACAGCGACACTGATCTGGAAAGTAGCAGCAGTAGTGATTCCGATTCCGAAAGCACGTCTAGTTCATCTGATTCAGACCGTTCGACGTGACGAATTCAGTATAATCTCTTAGATCCTAATGGTATTTATTCGGATTTCGTGGCTGTGTCCCTCATGATATACCGGTCATTGTTTGTATGTGTATTCAGAGGTGTCTTTAGCAGTCGTTGTTGTGTAAATATGTGAATGTTTGTCGAAATGCAAATTAATGGTCGAAATTCTAATTTCCAACTTGTCACTTCGTTGATGGTTGCATAAGCAGTTGACGATAAATATTGGTTTTTGACTGGATTTGAATGGAATTTGCATAAGGATTTCCTTTGTTTACTCTTCGCCACATGTTGTATAACAATGCTTTTGTGGAATCTAGAATATATTGATCGTGAACTGGTGAAAAACATTGCCTAGTTAGTGCGGTCGCCATTAGGTTTTTCCTGAATCCTGAATGTTTTCTAATGATTATTCATGCGCTGGATATTGAGAGGGCCTTCATTTTCACCATTATTCGCCCAGTACTAGCTAATCTTCGTTTCAACCATTACCAGCGGATCGTGATTAGGGCACTATTTTTCAGTTGTTGCAGCATTCTTCGGCATCCGGGCCATACTTTGATCGGGGTCTTTTTCTGTGAGAACTTGGCTAGTTTGTCTATAGATGTTGTTTGACTCCTGAAACCAATGTTACGCTCTTGTTCGCTGCGGATGAAGGGGCGTGTCATTATGGATAGGTTTGGCGCGGTGCCAAACCGTTTTCCACTAGTTGTTGAAGCGAGCAAGTGACAAAGTTTATCTGTCACATCTTTTGTATGAGTCGTTATCCACCGACTGCCACGCCTCCCCCTGCTTCAACAGGCTGGTGGAGAGCGAGATCGGCGCCGGGCCAAAACCATCCTGCCTGACACACCTCTTCATCCGCAGCGAACAAGACTGTACGTCCACATGGTTCGAAGCCACAGAAGCATCCTGCACCATCTGGAACATCAAGTTTGTAAATTTCTTGAGAATTTCTCTGATGAGCTAGTTTGACTTTCTGAATATGGGTATCTCTGTCGACTAACCCGAAAACATATTAAACGTGCGGCTTGGCACTGACGCCAAAACAGGCTGACAGTACTGCTTCATGCGGAAGGGACATTCGTGTTGAGGGTTCAAATTGACCCGCAGCCCAACCTTTGATTAATCTATTAGTAATAAAAATTGATTTAAATCTAGCCCGAAACTCGAAGAATGAAGCAGCAAGGTCTGGCTCACAGCCTGCGAAAGGATTGGGTACAGAAGGTCAGATAAGTACCTAAAGAACTGGCGGTTCTCGGCGATCGTACATTCTGAACAGTGCCCGAAGGATGAACAGTGCTGAAAATTGTATCTGGATCGCGGAGCACGTTCTGTAATTTGGGAAAACTTCGAATATATGCCCCCCCCCTCGAGAGTTCCCTCGTGCGAACCCATTCCTTTCCCCATCCTGCCTACTCTCTTCGTTGGTTCTTTTTACTCCCCACCTCTTGCAGTTCGCCAGTGTTTTTTCATAACGCTTTCTTCGAGCGAGGAGGAGGGGGGTGGTAAATAACGCCCGTAAAACGGGTACGAAACTAAGAAAAGTCACCAACCGAAAACATTTTTCTTGAGAACAGTTACGGCCATCCCGTCCCTTCATCGGTCAGATATCATCCTCTGCTCACTGGGAATTCCCAGTCCTGTTTGAGCGTCTACTAATAGCGGTAAGAATCAAAAATATCTGGACATTATACCGCGTGTATCTAGTAATTCTTCAATGAGCGCGGTATTTTGGTGCGTCTTGAATAAATGTATCAAATTAGCAGCGTTTCAGAATAATGAATTTCAAATACATGAATTCTCGTGTTGTCGGCATGAAACCCATATTTGCTTTTTAGCATTGTTTCATCCCGCCTTAAAGAAACAATCTTTCTTCAATGCTTGAGCGACACTTCGTCGCTTGAAGAGTTGTTCTGTGACTCTGATGAAGAATCCCTTTACCATCTACGATGAAC